CCACCCCCCCCGCCCCCCCCCCCCCCCCCCCCCCCCCCCCCCCCCCCCGCCCCCGCCCGCGCCGCCCGCCCTTAATAATTTATTGTTTAATTAGAGCGGCATTTCAACAAAAATGTCGTCAATGAATAGTTAAAAATTTTAAAAAATATAATTTATCAACTGATGTAAATGATTTATTACGCTATACGTTTGATCAACGTGTTATGCTTATTTGTAGTGATATATCGAAGTGTGCTTTTGAATTAGAAAATAATTTAATTCAACAAATACATTGTATTTTACATTGTGCTATAATAACAAATTGTAATCTTTATTATGAGCTAGGACAAGTTAATGTACAATCCATCACATATTTATTAAACAAATGTATCTGCCGCGATCGCGATTTATTCGCTAATCTTGTGTTGTAAAGAAGTCGCGATGTCGTACCATAATCCTGCTTTTCTCGCGAAATCGTGCCATGACTTTCTAGTGCTCGCGGAGTCATGTCGCGATCGCGCATAAATTGCTGTTGGAGTACCGGGACTCCCATCGCGAATAATACATTGTCGCTTTGTTTCATTTTCGCTTCACCACGTGTTTAATTCTAGCTACTTAGCAGGACTTGTCTTCTTGAGCGTACGACTCAGTCTATTTTTCTCCGTGAATTAATGTTATTTCGGACGTTTCAGTAACAGTTCACGCTGTATTAATTTTCTTTTGAATTCAGAAACTTTTGTTTGTTTGAAAGTACAGTTAATTCTCTCAAAATAATATTCACTCAGGGAGGAAACAGATTGAGTCATGCGCTCAAGAAGACAAGCGCTGCTAACTGGCTAAAGTCAAATGGAAGCATAGAGTTGCTAAAAACATCTAAACGTAGGCATTATGCACTTGTTTTACTCGGTTTTTTCTCGAGAACATGATGCACTTAAGTCGGTAAACAGCAATTTTGAAAAAGTAGTCTCTCGTTTAGATCCTGCCGGCATATTTCTGTCGTAATGTTGAACTATCTTCTTCACTCTATTTGTAAAAAGGTAACAGCGAGCAGTGATAATGCTAGTGGAAGAAATTTGAGAATGTTTATCCATGAATACTAGCCGCTAATATCAGTTCGTTGCTAGAGCTAATCTAGCATCCTGTGAAAGAGGCAGAATGGCTGAGCGCCAAACAGATCCTCTGTGCGCCAAACCGGAGCGCATTGGTACTCACAACATCATGAAAGTCATCAACGACAAAGCGATCTTGCATCGAGGATATTCATAATTGCGATGATATCAATCTTTGATGCATTTCTCATTTTAGTGCATTTTTGTTTTGAGACCTGGCGAAGTTAACATGCTTAACGAAGCTGCACATAGTAGAAGTTCATATATTTTGAGAAAAAGAGCGCCCCGTTTTGATATCCAAAATAGTTAAACAAAAAGATTTCAGCTTTGTGTCAACCAAAGTGGAAAGAATTTATGTTTCTATACTCTCTCGTTCCTTAAAATTGCTGTATACTTACTTTGTATATAAATTACTAATTTTCTCATGCGATTCCCTTTGAAAAAGTGAAAAAAATAGGAATAAACTGCAAAGAATTCGAGTGTGAATTAGTCTGCACACCACTCGAAGGAAATATGAAGTGTTTTGTACATAACGTACACTGGGTTTTTTTGTATCACATGTAAAATGAGAATAACAAAAACACATCTTCAATCCTACACGTGTCTACTATATATGATATAAACAAATGCGGACCCTATGTCTATATACCAAATATATAAATGCTCACTTTAAAATAATACAAAAAGAATTCATTTGCTTTCTTGTAATTCAAAAGATTACTCACTATATTCAACAAAATTCCGGTACGTTGCAAAATTCCGCGTTGCGAATTTTAAAACTCGTTTACTTTAATTGATCCTTAGCAGTTTTTGATCTTGAAGCGAGCCGTGGGAACCATGACTGGTGACGTATCTGCTAGATTGTTCTGCAATCGCCGCAGTTATTGTTGCGATGCGAGCCGCGGAAGCGGGAGTCATGTCGCGAAATAGCGATCGCAATAAGAGAAAACTATATTGACTTCTTAAGAACCTATGCGGAGTCTCACCGCGAGTTCACGAGTATACAGAGACCGCGCTGTGACTTCGCGACATCATAGCGAGCGCGACGTGATTACATATCGCGTAGTGAATCTTAAAAAAAAATTTTTTTTGAAAGTAAAATTTGATTATTTCGAAAACTGCTAGGCTTAAAACAGATAAGAAGAAATATTTTTCCAATGTTTATTTTGTGTCATACCAAATGCTTTGTATCCAGATTGTGGGATTGAATCATGAAATGTTAGTTTAGTTCTTAATCTTTTAAACAACCTGATCGATATAAGGTTGTTCAAGCAGATTTTAGTTTTTATCGTTCGTCGGTATTTTATCAACAACCATTTGAGGAATTAGTTTATTCCAGATCATTTCTTGTTCTGGATTGTTGTTGATAAACATGATCATTTTTTGTATGTGGATAATACTGCTACAGCAGTCATAAGTATTTAATTTATCATTGATATACTTGTTGTGTGTTTCATTTAATATATTAACAACTTTTATAGAAGCATCTACCTGAAGAGGATCAGAAGGATTTAATGATGATTGTTCTTCATGATCGCTAGAGTAAATAGGATCAATCAGTATAAAAGAATGTATATTAGAATGTGAATAATTATTTTTTTGTAATTATAATACCATTTCATACGCGATTAACGCTCCAAATTTATATCCAAAAAAATAGGGATTTTACCAAATTTATACCCTATAGACAATAGGGCCCACGTGGTTGTATACATCTCATTTGTGCCAGATGTTATTCGGCTATTTTGTCGATTGTTGTTAATTTGTTATGCAGCATAATATCATTTGTCTCTTCTATTGAATGAAAAGCATATATCGCTGTCGAATAATCTTTCATTTTAGTTATAAATTGTTCAAATATTGATATTGGTGTCGATATATCATTTAAGCAAAAGAAGATGGGGTTGGGTTTATGTCTGTTTTCCATTGAGAATTGATATAATGAAGCTATTAATGAAATGCTTGTGTACTGTTGATTTTTATCTGTTGTCGCTGACGGTAATCGATTAGTGTCTTCCATCCGCTCTGTTGTTTCGTCTATGTCAGTTGAACTTTTTGTCTTCGATGATGGCGAGTTCAACAAACGTTCATTTAATTTTCCATGAATATAATGTCCAAGTTTGGTTATTGTCGCACCTTGAAATACTTCACTTAATGGTATATTAACATTTAATTCTTTTTCTATCCAATTATAAAGCGCAACTACCATTAATGAATCCATTCCTTGCTGAACTAACGCTTTATCTACATAAATACGATCAACAGTTGCTGAACCAAAAATGTTTGCCATAGTCGCACGTATTTTGTTAATAATTGTTTCAACATTCAATATTTCGGATGATATTGTTGACGTTTCTACATAAACATATTTTTTCGTTGTTAATTCAATAATTCTTGCTGGGAAGTGATCTTCTCTCGATTTGATAATTGACCACTTATAAGCAAATATAATTGGAGAACAATAAGTTGTTTGATTTTCAAACAAATTTTCTATTAATTCAAATGTGAATAATGGTGGTGAAACTTCGATTCCTTCATTTATTAAAATTTATTGTACAATTTCACTTTGTCTGAAAAATGCACCAACATCAGAAATAGCGGATAGACTAAATGTCAGTGCTGATCATTGTTTACAATTATATCTTATATAAATCGGACATATTGCAATATTTTGATGCGTAGAGATCATTCCTACCTAAAGAGTGATTCGAAAAAATAAACAGCGTACAAAGTATGTAAAAAGAACAAACTCTCTATTCCAAATTGAGATCACATTTTATCTGTATAAGAAGCGAGAGAATACCCTAGACATCAATTCTTATATAAGAATTGGACAGAAAGAATAGCAAACCTTCCCCCAATAATCTATTTGGTTTTCAAGCCATATAATTTGCAGTGGTCTTGTAATAGAGGATGGGCTTCAGTTATGAAGGGGGGAGGGCAGATTTAAGATTTAAGTAAAATCCGAAATACTCGGTAGCATCTCAGTAAACCGATGGTCAACCTGGTTCATGTTTATAAGGGTGACTAATTTTCTCGTTAACCACTGTACTTTACACATCATTCGAGAGAGAATTTCACTGGCTTCAAAATGATATATAAGATGATCTTAGGAAAATGTAACTGGGTAGTCTAGGCTCCGAAATACTCGGTAGCATCTCAGCAAACCTGTGGGTCAACCTCGTTCATGTTTATAATATGCATTGATTTTCTCGTGAATTACTTCACTTTATATGTCACTCGATAGAGAATTTCACGAGCTTCAAAATGAGCTATAAATAAGTCTTTCAAAATATGCCTCCATTGGTCAGTAGTTGAAATACTCTACAAAGTGAGCTGGTCACAATGTCCAGACAGGTGTGGCCAGTCATTAAAGATACGGAAACGAAGCTTTTGGGTGTTATCTAAGCAGTGTGTATCTACAGTATGTCATAATCCCAAGAACTCCCTTATTTTTTACTTTTTAGTAAAAGCTGGAACCCATCTGAATAATGTTTTGAATAGCCCGAAGATTTTTCTATCGGATGAGGTGCATATCGCCCTTTCATGGGAAAAGTTGATAATAGGGCTTCTGGAAAGCCTGACCGCTGGAAAACCAAGTCCTTAGTTTTTGGTCAGAAAACTCTGCAAACCATATAGTCTGATAGAGCGAAGAAATCTGAGTAAAATAAGACATCTCCCAGCATTCTATAGTGCTTTTTCACCGCAATAGTTTGGTAACTTTTAGGTGTACAATGACCGTTCTTAAAAAGTTTGATCTTCCATAGTTAAGTTTCTGTTTATTTTGGTGAAAATATGTTTACTTACCTACCAATAATACCTTGCTTCGAGAAAATCTCTGGATCGACTGTTCTCAGCTCTCTCTCATATTGATACAACGTTTTTTTATCAAAAAATCTCATAGAAAACACGATGCGGATCGAAGATTCAAGATAAAAGTAAAATAATTTGATGAATTTGTGCCAATAATGGTATAAAGCCTATAACTCGGTCGTCCAACATCGTAGAAACTTGGCTATCGCAGGTGATTTTATAGAGAACTGAACGGACTACGGAATGGGACGGTTAAAATATTTCTGGATGGTATGGCAAGGCAGCTGAGTTCTCTAGAAAACTGAATTTTTCAGAAATCGTTTTCTCAAGACTCAGAGGTGGGATATCCGTAGGCATGCACCAGTTTCTAATTGGTGTTGGAGCATACGGGAGAATTTCCATAGATCAATTATGACGATTCTCTCAGAGCTGTGAAATATCTCTTTTTGTAGAAAAATGTTTGCGCTACAAAATACATTTATTAAAAAAATTGTTAAAAAAGATTCCAGATTCATTTCTAAGAAAACTTAGAGTATCTTAAAATGTACCAAATCACGGAAAAAACTGTTCGAATAGTTTTTTGTATGAAGTCTGAGAAAAACATGCAGAAAGAAAGAAAGTATTCCATAATGTCAGCAATAAAACCTTCAAAAAATTGCAAAACGCTGTTGCGAAGCTATTTTTCAAACAAACATGCATATGAAAAAGATTTAGTTTTCGATAACTTTTGTGTTTTGAGATTTAAAGAATTTCTAAATTACCTAGTAGGAAATGAGCTAACCATTAAGTCAACTATAAATACATTACCCTTTGTTCATAAAATTAAGATTAATTGTTTCCCAAATTGGTCAATACGTTTGATGAGATTATCACTTATTGAGAAGCTTATTAATTCTCAGCTATACGTCTAGTTTGCAGATGTGAAACGTAAAAGGAATTATATTTTGGAAGAATGTTCCTGTTTTCTTCTACACACTCAGCAGTAATCAGTAAATCATAGATTCATTTATTGTGATATTTCGGTAGGTCGCTCCTACCATCATCAGACAATCAGCATTTTTTAGAGTGTCACAAAATTGCACTTTCTATATAAACTCTTACGATTTTCAACTGCTTTCTCTCCAAATTTCAACATCAATATATAGTACAACTTGTGTACTTCAAACTAGTATAAAACGTGAAAATGGGTCCTCTCTAATTAATTTAATTTTAATTCGAGAAGTCGGCAGAATATAGAATAAATTCACCACTTCTTTCAAACATAGAAGAAATGAACATCTTGACAAAAGTATACACTTTGTTCCTTTGTCCGATGTCTACTGTTGAATATAGTATAATATAGCGTGTACACGTCCAGCGGAGCCACCGGGTCCAGAAATTGTCGGAACCCCGACTAGATCTTTGCGCCGCACAATGTAACTCGTCGCGCTGATTCCGAATATGTAAACGTCTCGAGGATCGCTTCTCTAGAAATATTCGGTCAAATTATGATATGTTCTGTCTGATATACTGCTATCTGTTTCAGAATAAAATGGAGTCCGATATTTTTTGAATTAGCGTTTCTGCTGACTCCTCTCTTTTTTTACTCCGATAATAGGAGTCAAGGAAGGCCTTGATTTTTTGCTGTTCGGGTAATGTATCGTATTTCCTACGAATCTCAGGACTGGCACCCGCTGACTACTGGTAGCCTTGAAGACGATTAAACTACGGATATTGGTGCATGCAGTAATCGTTCAAACTTCAGGATATGATTTGTATTGACTGCGAAATGTGATCGAAGAAATAAAAACATAGATTATTATTATTAGGTTTTGAAGAAGCCCTTTTTGAAAACCTTAAGGTTCTTTAAAATTTTGTTCTGAGATTTCCCATAATCCCTGATGGCACCAGTCTACATGAATATTTACACTTCTCGCACAGTCTACATACTATTAGGAGATGTCAATAGCTCTTGATGACACCTCCCGTAAGTGTCAATAGTCCTTGTTGGCACCTCATGGTGGTGTCAATAGCTATTCCGGTAAAAAAAATTTGGTGAGTTTCTATTCTTGTTACAAAGCGCTCATAATAATTGAAAGCTACTGTCAAAAGCTCACCGCATCCAGAAGCAAAAATTTTTCGATGAAAACTGGTTCTCATGATAACGATATAAATGGATAGTAGTAATGGTCCCTTGGAACAACGAAGAGCCCAGCATTTATTTCTAGCCATAATGGTCTAACGAGATATTCATCATGAGTTTAGGAGCATAATAAGACAGGAAAAGATTTTTTGGAGAAATAACATGAAATGCAAACTCTTATCGAGATATTACCGTCAGAAAAAACTTAGCTCATCGAGTTTCACTGAAAATTAAGTGACCACCGCCCCCTTCATTAGCTGGCAAACCTGTCAAGTAAAACGTGGATAGCAATGACTAATATACATAGAATTAAAGTGTCTATTCTAATAGTGATCAATTGTACGTGGAATGCGTCGAATGGCTTGTGCTACTAATCGTATTGTTGTATTTTCTACCGGTAGTCTCATTTGTATACCAATTTTTCTACATAATTCTACAAAATATTTTCGTAGTTCACGTCGAAATATTTCACCCGATATTGCATATAAATAAAAGGCAGTTGCATATGGTGTAACTGTAAAAAATATGCATAATTGCAAAATAAAGTTTTCGATTGTCAATCTATATATCGATTTAATGGTATGAAATGTTAAATACATATAAAAATTGTAGAATGGTACGAGCACAGTACAAACAGCGAATAGTGCTGTTTGAAACAAAAGCATTGTTATGAGTTGCCTATCTTTTGCACGTATTGGTGTACTTCTGGTAGAAGACAAAGCACTTGGCATAACTATACTGCCAGAATTTTGAACATTTCGTAGTGTAAGAAGACTAAATACAGTCATAATAATTACTGGCCCTAATGATTGAATAATAATTAATAAAATATTATTGCCTAATTGACATTGTTTGTTTATTGAAATACAGGGCAGTAATGGTGGTTTTTGCAGGCTTGCATCATAACAATAAAATGTTTGACACCAACTCAATGTGGCTAATACAATCATTATTATCATTGTTCGATAGGCAATTCTTTTAGTACTCAGATTTCTGTATCGATTATTACTGCAGCTGATTAAAAATCTATCGACAGATGCGCATATACGAAACCAAGCTGACAAAGTTGAAGCGGTGTACAAGACAAAAAACTGGAATTTACACAATACAGGTGAATGTGCCATTATACTTTGGCCGGATCTATTTAATATATTTGATATTAGAGATGAATAAAGTGTAATCAAATCGGTAAGTGATGTCACCAAAAGATAATTGATACAAGTTGCTGATCTTAATGATCGTCGAGTGAAAATAAGTACACTTAGAAAACTGCCAGTTGTGCCCAGTATAAAAAATGGTATGGATCCATAAATATTAATGTTAGTTATAATACTATTGATTACTGTCGGATCGGCAGACATGATGAACAAAATGAAACGAAGATGTAGTGTACTGTATGTGAAGCACTCTAGCGACGGATACGTTGCATGCTGGTATATTCTTTAATATTTTAATGAAAAAAAGAACTGATTAAATCAACGGGAGGCTGAATGAAATATTTTTTCATTCTGATATGTTTCAGTGGAACTGCAACGTACTCTAACATTAGAAATATAATGAGAAAGCTTTTACGGTTGCTGTCATTTGATTAGAAATGAGCCGAGTAGTTTTGATAGGCGAACATCAGCGTTGCTGTTTTATTCATCGATGACGATTAACCTGATCCGGAGCTCGATTTTTCCATAGGTTTACATCCCAAAGTATCTAGTTTCAGAATCTGAAAACCGACGGTCTCTACCGCCTTTCGTTCAAAAGTTATTCAGAAAACATCAGACTACATTATATTTTGGTACAGATAATAGTTTTGTTACATTTCAATCTGTGTGATTATTATCTGGGAGATCAGTGAAAAAAGACGATATTACCGAATGTCACAATAGCTGACAGTATCACTGAAACTTATCACAATGAGAAAATATTCCATTAACTAAGTTCAGTTTTCAGACCTCCATTGATTTGATCAGTTCTTTACTTTATTAAAATATGAAAGAATATACCAGCATCAGACGCATCCGTCGCTAGAGTGCTCTCTAATGACATAAAGTAGATCTTTTTATATTGTATATTCACCATGTGTCGTAATATCCGTTGTAGAAAACTAAGTGCTGAAAAAATTGCCTATTGAACAACGGCAGTAATGCTTATGATGTTGATGTCCCGAAGAATATAGCGACTCTTTTGCGAATTGATATTTCTGCGAACAAGACCGTGACTCTTGCGCGAAATGGGATGATATTTTTTTCATAATCCTGTTTAACCAGAGTAGAAAGATTTTCATAACATCTGTCGTAAAGAATGGGATTGGTGGGAGGGAGAGCCCAAAACGTGAGAACAAGCAACCTAATAATACTTCTTCAGAAGGAGGACGAAAAATATTCATGAAAGAATCATGCCACGGTCTCGAAACGATTGTTGTAGCACTTGACTGATGAATTGCTTAGTAATTTAAGATTTTGGGGGAGCGTAAATAACTTTTTTCGATATGTTATACATTGAAAAAGAGCCCACATCAGTAAGCATGCAACAGTATCAGTACGGTACCCAAGTACTGAGATTGATCATTACCGGTATTGATCGGCACGGGTATTATACTCGTAACGTAATGATAATTTCTAGAAATGATTGTTACTAGTGCTTCAGTAGCGTTCATAGAAAATAAGAGAGAGCAATTTTATGCAGATCGCCCAGTTATTTCACATATATTATATAAGAGACGAGAGGAATAGAGAACCGCTGAACGAACACAAAAATGCCAGTTATGCATTTCTGCAAAAAAGATCTCGGATTAATTAATTAATAGCAAAAGCTCTCACACCCGCGTATATTATAGACGACTTGTATGAGTGCTTGTATGATGATTATGTACTTTCGGCGAATAGACTTGATAGCTATCTGAATTTTCTTTTGCTTTCAGTTAAAACTGACATTATTTCGAGATTTTTTCTGCAGAATAAAAAATTAAATTAAATTTTCCGAGATCTTTTACATAGACATTTTTCCGAGATTGTTTCTGTCTTTTTTTCCTTCCGAGATCCATTCGGCTAATTTCCCAAGATCTTTCCTGATTTTATCCAAACCATAGTCAATGTAAGAGCAACAAAACAAAAGCTTTTAGATCGTTTTCAGTAGTACACGTAGAACATTCACGCCATAATATTCGAAATATAGCTTGTAGAGAAAAATATCAATTCCGGATATCTTCCCATTTTCGTAATTTATATACACAATTACTCATTATAATTGTCTTTAATTTTAATTACGAATATATGACCACGATTATATATACGCGCTTCTAAGATTGATTTTAAAAGATCGTTCTTAAGTTGATTATCTTTTTATCTTATTAACAAATCTAAATTACTGGACTCATTTCTCTCTTTTACGAAGATTAATTTTTAATTTTTTTTGAATCGGGCTCATTTCCATCTTTTTTTTGTTAATTAAAGCAACCGGAATCAATTCTCTCGTTTTTCCGGGGTCATTTATATTTGTGTACAGGAATGAAATAAGTTACAAGAAGAATAAGAAAAAACATGTGAGAAGAAGAAGACAGATGCTATTGTTCTGTTCTGGTTTATTTTTTTTTTCTATGATAATAAATTATATCATCCCATAAAATAGGGAGTCTGATCGTACTCGAGATGACGACATTTTTCATGACAGTTGTCGAATTCATATATGTTGTTCATCCGTTTCGAGAAGAAGAAGTATGGTAACGTGAATAGATTTGATCAAGTGGCTTGCTTACGGCAGACATGTCGAAATATATGAGTAAAAAATCGCTGTGCAACTAAATAACCAGTACCGATCAATACTTTGAGTACTCGTATTGATGATACTGGTACTGTGGCATGTCTACACACCAGCATCAAACAATAAGATCCCTTCCCGTGTTAATTCATATTGATAATATCAAATTCATTAAAATTTCGATTCATCATTCACATAGTATGAAAGTATTACATGAAGAATCAAAGTTTGGGAAAATCATAAAAATCACATGATCAATTTACGATCCGCCAATTAGACTGTCAACTTCAGGTTGAAAGTAAATTTAAAATCTCACAGACTTTAGTCTGCATTACGACAAAGCAAACAAATGCAAGCAAAATATTCAATGAACCTTTAGTTCGATCGATAACTGTGTATCCAGCGTGACTTTTGCAAACTGTCACAAATTGTGTCAATATCAGAGATGGGCGATGAACGAGAATCCTCGCGAGGCACCGCGGGGAAGAATTTTTGAAAACTTGACGAGGCAAGAAGTGCACGAGGCGAAGCCTGTAAGGAGCTAAAAACGGTCCATCGCCCACCTCTGGTCGATATATCGTTGGATCAGTAGATGTATTTGTACGATTTGAATAATCTTTTGAATGGCATACTTCAAAAGCATACTACAAAAAAAGCCAAGATGCTTAGAAGAAAATCTCTTTTGGATTTTAAAGAAAATAAGAAGGGGCATGAATATTCCAACGTCGTGCCATTTCTTGTGCAAGAAACAGTTTTTCATCTTCGCTCATATAAAATATGTTTTCTAAAACTACTCAGGAAATCTTGACTTTACCATATGTTCTACCTGCTACTTTCTTCAATAACATGATCTAATCAAATTTGCGAGTCTGCTGTCTCAGAAGTTGAGCTTAAATTAAATGAATTTTCAGCTATACAGTAACTTTGTCTTACGATTATTCCTTCAACTACCTGAATTTCTCCTTCATACGACGTTAGTCACATTGCTGGACTATAGAATAGCTTAAATACTCTACTACATTCTGAAGTTTTGAACCCGTTCTGATGATTTCTAAGTGAATTTTTTTATATTTTTAAATTAATTAAAAATTAATTAAAAAATTAATACATTCCTATGTGAATTTCAAAAAACACAAGTTAGTTTTCCAAGCTCTTCTGATGAATCCGCTTCAGAAATTTTTTCGGGATTCGCTTTTGTTTCCAGAAACGTGTGGTCAGATGTCTAGTTTTCAAAACTGAAAACCGTAGGTCTCCATCTAGCTTCTATCAAAAGTTATTCAAAAAGTAACCGATGGCATTGTATTTTGGAACGGATGGTAGCTATGGAGATGTCATTGTCATTCTTCGTGTTCTATTCGTTCACGAAATATTCTAAGGATCCCTTTAGTTTGAGAAACTGTTCCAGCTTTTAGCGCAACCTGCTTTCAATTCATCTGTGCAAAAAACAAAAAAGCTGTATTGATTAACAGCTTTTTGATCCAAATCGATTTATAAGCAATACAACAATGCATACAGTAAATCAGCAAGAAAATAGGCAAAGTATATGGATTAGCTGTCGAGTTTAAATAAATCACATATTTCTACTGTAAGTAACCAGTTAATCGCACCGATTACGTATAATTGCAAACTTTTGTATACTATTAGTTTGTGAAACAATTAAATTTCCATCACTATCAAATTTTAAATCGAACGGAGCACGCAGTTCATTAGATTGCCTGCCGCCCGATTTGCAACGTCCGACAATACAAACACCACCAGCCGTATAATTTCGTGCCATCCATTTAACTATACGATCATTTCCATTATCGGTTATATAAATATTTTCATCACTATCTACAACAATACCGATTGGATTTTTCAATTTAAATAGACTATTACCTTCTGTATCACTTCCAGAAACCGTTTCACCACTATTATTACCGATCGGATGAAATCGTTGAATTCGAGAATTTGCTTGATCAACAACATATAAAGCATTGTGGATCGAATCAACAAAGATTGTTTGCGGATAATTAAGATGAATAGAATCGTTTCCTGTCATATTAGTTTTACCAGCAATTAAAATGCCAGTTTGTGCATTTGGTTCCCATTTGACAATTCGGTGATTCTCATGTTCTGATATATACAGGTTATTATCTTGATCCATCATAAGACCAGGTGTATGATTACTTAGTTGATACAGTCCGGAACCCACATCATTTCCACCAGCTACTGTCACACCAACACTTGTATTTGGACGAAATTTTAATACTTTTCCAGTATCAGCAACATATAAATTATTGTCATTATCAACGAAAACGCTAACAGGCCTAGTAAAATTGTCTGCAACCGCTTGTCCAATCATTTCACCTTGTTTAAATTTTAGAATGCGTTTATTGCCCAAATCTGCTACATACAACGTATTGTTATCGTCCAAATCAACAAATATTCCGTGGGGCTGTTTTAGAGATGATAAATCTGATCCTTCTAAATCATTTGCGTTACCGGCAATCGTAGTACCATTTTCATTCCATATTGCACACGGTGAGATACTTAGCGTATTTGTAGTTGTATTTCGAACTTGAGAAGCACAAGAAAAACATAAATTTATAGGTTCTTATATAGCCAACAATGCACTTTATGACAATTAGGTAAACCCTTATAAATGGCCTAATAACCTATTATTTCATGAGAAATTTTGATTTACATTTCTGCAGATGTATGCGAATAGGTAACTTCAAGAAGCATCATCACCTAAAGTCGAATCTTTACACAATCGGTGCCTATGAAAAGGTGACATTTTAATGACTGAAACTCTAAGTGTAAGACCTCGTTCATTCGATTACAGATGAAGGAATAAAAGAAAATGTAATACCTGAGGATATAAAAAAAATATTGTGCTTACATCAACTGAATTCGATATAAATGTTGTAAAAGACATAGAAAAAGGAAAAGTACTTCAAAAATACATAGATAAAATATACGAAATTAAATATCTCACCTTTATTTGTCGTAGCACCTGTATCTGTTGATGTTTTAAGATCTAAAATAGATTGTTAATTAAAACGAGCTGGCGGCTATTTCTGACAAATTTTATTATTTATTTAAGAAGTTTATGAATTTTTTTATGAATTTTTGATATGCTTCGAACGCAGTCACAGTACATGTAGAAGCATTAGAGAAATAGAAGAATCTAACTTACCAGATGTATTTGGTATATCAACAGTTGATAGAAAATGAGTTGTACCATCACTAACTGAAACACAGTACAAAAAAGACAAAGAATACTTCTTTTTGTAGCACTTGCTAAAAAACAAAAAAGCAGTTACTAAAAATCTTTTAAAATGGTACTGTAGACTAGAAAAGCTTGAAATATTATTCTTTATAAGCAACAGTTTATCTATGTCTATGCACATAGATCACCATGTTTAGGAAAGAAAATTTATATATGACCTCTTGTATTCGACATTATTGTATTTTCCAATTTAGCTTGGTGTCTTTGACTTTTTGTTAATTTTGCTGTTGATAGGTCCACATTAACAAATTGGGCATTAGTCAAATTTGAATCACCAAAATCTGTGCCATCTAATTCTGTACCATTAAATGTTGCACAAACAAGAGTCGATCCTTCAAACTTTACACCATTTAATCGTGAACCGTTAAATGATGCACCATTAAGATTAACAAATGAAAAGGTGGCGTTCGTCATTGAAACTTGTTCAAATTGAACACATTTCATATTTAGTTGATTCACAGTATCAGTTTGACTTGTTAGATGGACGTTGTCCAAATTCAATCCATTTAATTGAATAATATCATCGAATTGTTTAAGTTCGCATCCAGTTTCACATTGTTGCCTACCAATTAATTCTTTTTCCTTAAGAAATTGTAATGCATGTGCTTTCCGAGATACATCCCATTGAAGATGTGCAGCTCTGTGACGTGCATTAGCAAATACCCATGGTCTAGAAGTATTATTCAATTCGCCTCCTCTATGTAATGTATAAATATCATCTATAAAACGATTATAGATTTGTTGTTGTTGTAATTCAGATGCTTGTTTCAAATCAAATTGACTTCGTTCTCTAGCTGCTTGTGTTTGTTGATCTCTTGTTATTGTTGTATAAATAACGATAGCTATGGGAATTGTAGCTGTACACAAAACATTTAATAATTCATTAAACGTTAATTTAAAATATTTTTGTTTTTGGGGCTGCTTTTCCGGTTTTTTAACATCAACTGGCTCAGCTCGGTTATTTATTTGTGTCATTTGAAAATTATATCTGATAGGACCGGTTGATGAGCCTTCAAAATTTTAAACTAACGTAAAATCTTTATTCTCACACGATGAATAATCTTGTTCAAAAAAGACTCTATTATACCAGTAAAATGAAGACCCTTTTCTCTCTATATCTTTGTTCAATGTCTGTGCAAATAGAAAAAAATCATAACTCTACCAGTTTTAGCACGTTTTTCGAATAAAATTCTTAAATCACGTATTTTTACATGTTTGTTTGAATGTTTTGATAATTTATGCTGAAATGAAATTTGATAGCTTTCGTCTTTTACTAGTTTTCATATAGCAAGAGTTTAGAAGACAATTTGTTTTTTGCGTATTTTGAATGTTAGATATATATTTTCCATTCATACTTAAAAACAAATAATAAACGTGAAATGAGAATTTGACTTTATGTTTAGAAATTATGACAGGTAAGCTGTTTTATCTAGCTGTTGTACTTGTAGAGCGCAGAGTTCTCTACAAAATAAGACCAAACCGACATTGCTACGATGCCTGAAAAAATCGGTTGAAAACTTTTAACTTAAAGGCTTGTCGCTTAAGTTATGGCGTTCTATTATAGCCAAACTTTACTCTTTCTTTGATATCGAAATTAAAAGTTCAACCGACTTTTTTCAAAATACAATGCATAAAATGTTTTTATCGAATGGTCTATTTGTTTATATATCTTGAGTCGCTTTTTTCTAGGCCAGAAAATGCAAAATACTAAAAATGGTCTAAATATACTTTTGTCCGTTAATGTAAAAAGATTTTAAATACAAAAAACTTCCAGTCTTCAATTGAAAATCATTTGTTATATGGATCTTGATGCCTACATCGCCAACTATCTGCATCGTACTTTGAGTCGTTTTTAAAGCCTTCTATCAAGGCGAAACTTGATAGAGTAACTAACAAAAACTGTTATAGGACGCGTTTCCGATTGTTATTAGTGGACATAGAGAGTAGGGCTGTGACGGTTACCATTACCGTTACAGTAGTTGTAACTGCTGATCGGTTGGAACGGTAACTGTTCAGCAATTACCATTACCGAGTAACGGCGGTAATGGTAACTGGTAGCTGTCACAGCCCTACTAGAGAGTGATACGAGAACAGGTGTCTTAAAATAAGACTACTTGAACCCAGCTTATAACCTGGAATTTTACAGTTAAATATTTTCTGTAGAGAAAAAACGCTTCAACCATGAAACTACTTTTTGATTTACTCGCTTAGAATATTGGTCGTGGTGCCGTAGAAAGCAAGATTGTTTCTTGTTGCGATGTGTGTCGTTTTATTTGAAAATAAAACTTGTCAAGCACAACGAGAAAGGGCCTTAAGTTTACCCCAATTTTTTTCAGAATAGACAAAAAAACAATTTGTTTTCTAAACTCTTGCTATATGAAAACTAGTAAAAGAAGAAAGCTACCGAATTTCATCAAAACATTCAAACAAACACGTAAAAATACGTGATTTAATAATTTTATTTAAAAAACGTGCCTAAAACTAGTTGAGTTAGGATTTTTTTCTATTTACACAGAGATTGAACAAATATAGAGAAAAAAAGATGCACGGGAGTAGGGAAAAAACTCTGCACAGAATAATGTATTTCTCATTGAATTATTATTAGCTTTGGATGGGGTGTATATCGATCTTGAAAACGCTTGTTAATTTTCATCGAAAATAGTTAGCCACATCGTGATCCTTTTCGACATCCGGAAAAAATTTTGTTTCTTCAGGAAAAGTCTGACATAGCTAAGAAAACGTAGCTGCTCGAATACTTTTTACTGAGCGAAAAATGATTAGGTTTAAAAAGGTCTAGTTTTAGATATCAAAAACTCGCTTTGAACATGAGAAACTAATCAGAACTGTAGCTCGCACTGTGGTCTATTCAACACCACAAGTATTTCTTTCTTTCTGAAGAAAACCTTATCAATTTTTCTTTTACTGTTGTCCGAATAATTTTGAAACTGACTTCGTTCTATAATCTATTTGAGTTTTTAATGAAGCTTTGTTCTTTAAATCGTATGGTGTGGAGCCTTCTGTCATTTAAACGAAAAATCACTAGAACTAAGCGTATGAAATGAGGAGAAAATTAGGAAAATTATGATCTAATTTGGAAAATTAAGTCGTTCAACAGATAGAATCAACAGAAATTAATATCTTGAGTTGTCGTTACATGTTTTTCCAAATACTATCTGTTAAACTGAGTGGCTACGCAGCAACTTTTCTTCACTCGAAATAATTGCAATTTTTTTCAATTATGCCGGATCTTTATGCACAGTCGGCAATTTTGACTAAGCACGTGGACATGAGTTTTGAAAGCAGTCCAAACGTAGCTAAACCATTTTTCTATAGGTTTTCCACGACGCTCTTTCCAACCGAATGGTTTTCGAGTTTTAAAAAAGTTTCCTAAGGGGTTTTCCAGAGACCGGATCTCGCCAAACCACTGCAAAAACTTCATTAGAATTCAAAAACCATTCCATTGGAAAGGGCATCGCTGAAAACCTATAGAAAAATATTTTAGAAGCGTTCATGATTTTAAATCTTGACTTTTAAATTTTCGAGCAAAAGATTCTATGTGCCGATCCCAAAATCTAAGAATTCGATAAGAGTCAAAAGTATACATCTAAAACCCAATGAATTATACGCCATTCGATGCAGTTTTTTAAGCTGGTTTTGAATATGCAATTGGTTCTTGATTCTGATGTTTCTGAACTGCGAGGACTTGGTTTTACCTCAAAAACCAAGGGTTTTTGGAAAACCTCTCCCACTGCAGGGAAGCGTTTCGGCTATTTTGGGCTAAGTGCACAGACGTATCATATAAAGAAGAATATTTTCTGAAAGTTTCAGCTTCGGTGGACATCAGGGGAATTTAGGATCCCAACTCTACTAAAATTACTTTTGCGAAAAACGCTTAGTCTCCGGAAAACTCTTTTTTCTCCTACCAAAAACTAACTAAAATTAAAAACTTTTTTATTAATCGATAGCCTGGAAACTCAGCTTTCAGAGTATGTGTGTTTCATTTTTTCTGAAGTTCGTTCTGTTGACAGAAAGAGTAATATTTTTTAAAGGTTTTCTCGGACGATCACTAACAGCATTCGATGCAAATAGGGTTATTAATAGGAGAAAAAAGAAGACAGTTATACGTACATGAAAAGCATTACGTCATCCTTCAACAGCATTATTTATACGAAGGTAAATTAACTCTTGAAAAACTCTTCTACGTTAACACACAAACGGTAGGATTATTTCTAATGCCTTTTGATTCATTAATATTTCTTTTGTATAATCACCTCTGTCACCAGAGGAACATTCAGAAAAGGACACCACTAACCAGGAAACGTGCTCTGGAACGGAGCGCACGAACAATGGTACATACGGATTCCTGCGCATGGAAACATATGAGCACCATAGTGTTACCCACAAACTTTTGTAGAGAAATAAATAACAAATTCTGTAGCATTTACTGTGAAAAAAACAATGAAAAATAAAAATAATATTTGTTTTCGAGCGATTGCCATGA